TAACTCGAATGCACGTTAGAACAACACGACAAGGAAGGGCTTACTTTGCTATTCGGCGGTCGGTGTTCTTCCGTCTCCGAGCCGATGATACTCGCGATGGAGAATTTTGCAGGTCTTTGCCTTTCTCTTGACACAGGCGGGTCTGTTGATCTGCCGAGAGCTGGCGGTAAACATGTCAGGTACCTTGGAACTGGGAAATGTGAGTACAGAGGCGGTCGCCAGCTTGAAGAGTCCATGCAATTCCAGTAGTACTGAAACCCAAAGGCGCTGACGGCTCCCTCAGGTGGCCGCGGTCTCTTAAATCTTTTCCCTCCTCCTCAGAAACTGCCGTTATCGAACATTCCCTCGCTGGCAGGATCCAATGTCCAGTAGTTTTTTGCCAGGATTTCCCGGTTCGCGCGGCATTTTCATGAAACAATCGTTCAGAGAAAGGTTATGCCTTATGGAATTTTGCCACGAGGGGAACTTTTCGCGGTAATACGGAAAACGGCGCTTGATGAAGTCGCAGATTTCACTTAGGGTGAGTTTTCTTTGCGGTGATTGCAGAATAGCCATTGTGATCAGAGCGATGTAGGAGTAGGGTGGTTTGGACATAGACGATTGTCTTCGGTTTTCACTGGTAGAGCTTTGCTGTCTTAAACTTGAATCCTTTTTTTCTTGACCTTCGTCTTCATCTTCGTCCGGTTCTCTCTCCGTGAGGATTTCATTGTGTTCATCGTCGCTTTTGGCAGTTTTAAAACTTTGATCTGCTAACATCTCCTCGTCATCGTGTTTAAAATTCTCTTGGAAAGCCATTGAAGTGTTTATTGGTGCACGGACGCACGCTTGCACGCACGGCCAAACGGAGTTTGCTGCACGGAGTGAACTGAATCCGTGGAAGGTGGCGAAGATGTGTTTTCAGTCGGCAAAAGTTGTTTGAATAAGTCAACGTACACCGGGACCACCCACCTGTGCTATAACCACTTATAACAACTACCCTCCCTGGGGCTATCGGAGATTTATTCACACATTAGCATCAAAAAGGTTTACTCTCCCATATCCTATCCAATAATTACCTCATTAAGGTGGTGTTCTTTGTAATTAGGCCGTATAAAAACTTTTCCTTTGGTCTGTACACTTAAACAGGAACAAAACGACACTGTTTATTGCACGGATTGTGTAGTGATTGTAAAAAGAAGCTCTGCTGTTTCGCTACGCTGAAAAATGTGGAATTTAGATCTTCGAAAGTTTATTGTTTTCACCCGAAATACCTCTCCACGTGTTTAGAATTCTACCCTCAGTGTCAAATTAAGGCAAACAAATTTTATAAGGTGAGCCTAAATCTATTTCAAATTATTCGCAGATGTCTCCCATTTGAGTACAATATCAGATAAGGCTTTGAAAGGTAAGTTAAAAGCCATAACGTCACGTAGAGATGGACGGAAATTAGCTGCGAAACCGTGAAGGCAATTTGAATAGCACAATTAATAAGGAAAAGATTGTAACCATTTGTTAAACAGCGCTATCAATTCATGTTTGATTTTCATTTTGCTAAGAGCAGTTTGTTTACAATACACTTCTGAGATAAAATGGTTTTATTATGTCTTTCCTAAGGTAAATAAACATCCAAGTCATCTGCATGAAATTATCTCCCAGTGAAAATAGATTTCTAGACGACGAAAAAAACAGATATTTCATGAAATTTTCTTTTCTGAGTTGAACTCGAAGAGAGAGTTTTTTCTGTGCAAGTTGGTAACGAAATAAGTGAGTTTTTCACTGCAGGATTATGACCATCTTTGCGGCATATTACAAGCACATCTATCGAAGTTGTGATCGTTTGAGAGAGGGTTTAATCCTAAGTTAACCATTTGCAAACACAAAACACGATAACACCAAACGGCGCCGCGGAAACATCATCTTACGTTTTCACCCCACAAAGATATCGATTAAAACATCTTCTGAATTATAACATGGTTTTGTGTTTTCTTTTCCTCGAGGGCCATCTTTTTTTCTAATTCATCAAAAATAACTATTTATGGAAGGAAACCCTCTTTACTAATCTTTAATGTAAAAAACGAGTCGTTGTAAAACAACTTTTGATTTAACATGGTCAAGGGAATTTTTGCATTTGTATACCAAGGAATAAGAGGTTACACTTAATCAAAAGATAAAAAATTTGGTTGTAAACTACCCGTTCCTTGAATTTTTTCAAGACATTCTAGGGGAGAGTCGTATGAAATGCGATTCAGCAAACGATTGTTTTAACCTGAAATTTACATAGTTCAAAATTTAAGGAAAACGATACGTTAAAAGGGTTTGTGTTAAGCGCAATGATAGTGTCGACAGATTTACAACGTCTTGTTGTTTAGAAATTGACTGAATGTGTCCGCCAAAAAAGAGAGAAAAAGTTAATAAAGAAGCCTCTCTGTAGAATGGGTATTAGCTGAATTTCTCATTTACTTTTAATGCAAACTTCAAGGGTTTCTCGGTCGATCATTTAAACACTATGAAATACACCACTTATTCTCCTTCGCAAAAAACGATTATCAATTGCTTTACCATATTTTAAAGAGTATTGTAATTTTCTGTCTTCCTTTTTATTCTTTTCTGAAAATGAGACGGGTATTCAATTTCAGGTAAAAGAAACGGAACTTAATTGATAAATTTAGCTGTTTTGCCTCCACTCTAGTTACCAATATCATTTGGTTAAAATTGAAAACTACCCGTGTTCCGTATCTAATCCTGGTATATTGTTTTTCATTCTCAAATTCTGTTGTTTTGGCCTCAAATCCTTCGAGCGTGTTGGCTTATTAAACAAATAAAAGCTCTCTATTTGCCCTTGATTACACTAAATGAAAATTAGGACTTGACACCGCTCGCAGTTCAGCGAGAATCGATTTGAAAATTAATTAACTCTTTCTTTTTTTGTTGCAAGTGAAACCAGCCATTGAGCGCGAACAGTTTCGAGTCAATCTCGTGAAATCAATAAACTCTATCTCTGACAGTTTGAACAGTTCATGTTTGCACGGCCACTTCACAATTATTAATTTCTCAAACTCAGTGATTACAGAAGCCATAATTTTTGAATGATTTAATTTCCTTTCATGCTATCCGAAATATACAAACAATTGTCAAACAGGGATGAATATGTGAAAATTGCTAAGAGTAGTTTTTGTATTGATCGAAAACTGAGATAAACCGGATCTTCTACCTTGGTATATGTTTACGATAGATTTGTAAAGAATATGATATAATTTTCTTGCGTTCGATCTTAATCCTTCCTCCAGGCTATGCCTTTGTTCTGGCGCCGTTTCGTTGTTGTTAAATGTTGTAGTCTCTAAGGCAAAGCTAATTCAAGTAAAATTAATATGACGAGTGAGAAATTATCCTCCATAAAAGTCGTAATTTTCTTATATTCTTTGTTGATAAGCCATGTCGACAAAGACCCCAAACACCTGTATCTAATGTATGCTAATCGAAATATGTTTCATTTCCACTTTTCTTCTTTCATTAAAAGTTATCAAGGGCAGAATAAAAAGCTTTAACAATTCATCACTCCCTGTCGTCTTCCGCGAGCTTTGGGGGGAATCTATTATTTTCCTTTCCAACACAGGAAATTACGGGCGATTTGGTTAGCTAAAAAAAACGCGATGCGTAAACTTGATTCAGCAAGATGTGCATCGTAAAATGTCGATTGCGACACATTTTCAATGGCTTTTTGAGTGTTTTTCTGTCAACTGAAAAGACTATTATCGCAGTCTAGATAAGTGACTAAATTTCACGTAATAAAATGATCAAACAGAATAGACACCACACTTCAAGGCTAATTCAGTACTGTTGTATTGTAAATCGCAGAAAAACTAGACGAGTTTAAAAAGCGTCAATGAACATTCAGAGCTTAAAACTAAGAATTGCGCGGAGGTGTTTGGGCTTTTGTGCATACTTCCTTCAGGTTTATCTTGTTGGGCGATATCGTTTTCGGTGTTTTTCATATACACACGTACTTAAGCAATTAAACTAGCCGGGGAGGAGTTGAGCGAACAATATTCAGCTGGTTTGCTAATTAAGGCCATTCAAGGCTCTAAATGGGGTTTCTAAGTTGAAAAAATGTCTTGATTATAAATCAAGAATCTGTTAATTTGTAAACGCACGTACACGCAATTTGCGAAACAGATTTCTTAGATAATTTGAGTCTTCTCGATTACAGAACAGGGTTTTTCAAATCTGATGAATTCCAATTTGATTTTTTCCTCGAAAATTTAATTTTTTTCACATTATTATGTCTGAAATGATTGTTTTTACATGAGGATCACGGATTGAAAAATGTAGCGAAACCATTCGTATATCGTGTGTCTTAGTTTAGACGCCTTTCTTCGATAAAAAAAATTGAATTTTTTGTCAGAGATATTGTATCTGTTCGAGAGATGAACACAAAAGCACGAAATTTAGTAGAATCGAGTTGATATTGCTTTGAGAGCGTTTTTGTTTTTTATCAGAATCTCTTTTGTGAGATAGAATGTTCGAGTACGCTGTGGGGAATTTTTTACGAAGCCAGCTTTTATAAAAGTCTTTATTGACTTTGTCAATAGCCGGTAAAGAACTAGTATGATATCAACGCCCTCCAGACAATTCGTGATCAAAATCACGATAAGTTTCAGCGTTGTCGAGGTTAAAAAGAGGCATATGAATCAAATGAAAGAAATTCGTGACCAAAGGAGCAGTACACGAAAAATCACGAAAGTTCAGACATGGTCTTCGTCAAACATTATATACCCATAGTAAAATACCTCAGTAACTTTTTAGCGTGGTGTTGCGACCTACATTAGAAACATGAAATTACTTTGATATTTTCTGCTTTTTAATTCAACCATAGTTTTTCCTGATATTCCTACTGAAATACTGAAATGACATTTATTTTCCAAGTATTTATTTTTTTCGGGATCGAATAGGCGAAATATATAGAATTTAGCCTGTTTTCGGTTCTCTTCTTTCGCACAATGTCTTCCGAAAAGTGAATTTAAAGTTCACCCAAACTTCCGTTTGGCTTTGTGGGGCCCTCTGTCTTCCTTTAAAATGATATTGTCTGCTCGTAAAAGTTCCATCTCAAAAGTAAAGAAAGATAGTTTAAAATCATTACCCACGGCAGATGAAAGAAATGAAAAAAATCACAAATCTCCTCCTTCGCTAATCAGTTGGGCATGGCAGTCACGGATGTAGTTTAACTAGAATGTAGCCGGTTTGTATGCGTGATGGAGGGCCGTTTTCGTTTTCAAAGCAGTCGGCTTTTCTTATTTCCTTTTTACTCTGCTGAATGCAGGAAGGAGTTTTCTAAATGCATTTTGTTAGAAGGGAATGGCTATGAAAGGAAACAATACTACTCTTTATTACATTATCAATATCAGAAAGCAACCGCAACGTCATAGTTAATGTCGCTAGTGCGTTTTAAGAGGTATCTAAATGAACGCGTTTAATTGATGTTAGGTCGAATGGAAGGTGACTTCACAACGCCGCGTTATGGCAATTAATGTTTTAATACTCGGCTTAATCACTCTTAGAACCACAAACCAATGCACGTGTGTTGTTTTATATTTGCGCAAAATGTTTATCAGATAAACGGTTGAGGGTGAAAAAAAAATCGCCTTTGATTTATTAACGTGATTGTCATGGTAGACCTCGGCTAATCCAATTTTATGCAGACTGTTTCAGGTTCCGCGTTTTGTGCGTGTCTCAGTGGGTATCTGTGCCTAACCGCATGCTTTGCACATGCTTCGTGTGTATAGTGTCAATCACTGTTATAGGATACCTATCTAAAACACAGCCTTCCGTCATTCGTTGGCTTATTAAACCTGGGGTTGATACCAAAATGATACTGAACCTCACGTATATTAGTATCGTTCGAGTTGTTTTAAAAAACAAGTGCGAATAGTGACGGTGTCGATGTAAAATGTGTTCAGACTGGTCCGCAGTGTATATCAGAGAGGTTTTTAATTTGTAACAGTGGTCAACACTAATCTCCCTGATATTTCCGATGAAACTTGCCCGAGGCAAAGTTCATGTATTTTGTATCACCGCAAGATCTGTTTTGTCCAGTACCGAACGCTCTTGGATTGCTTTTCCATCGTGACACTGGTAAGTGACTTGAGGGAGTCCTAGGGACGAGACAGAATTGCGTATGATCAAGCATGGCATAAAGGCCCCTCGTTATTAGGTCACGTGAGCGAACTAACTTTAAGATAACTTTCCTGTTTACCCTTTCATTTCTAATATGTGTGTGTTGATTCTCCTTCAACACATGCTTCTATTCTTTTTAATTCTGAGAATTTTGGTCGTTTCAAAACAGTCTCGGTTGATGGTTTATTTTGTTCTCTCACTTGTCTTCGTGTACAGTGAAATAGTCTTATCACAGTCCAGAGTTAAAAGATACTTAAGGTGATTTCTCGGTATTACTCTGCGCATCGTGTACTGCGCTTAAAAATCACGTAATCAGATGAATAAGCGCGCGCGCCGAGAACACGGTATTTTTTTTCAATAAATGGACCACAGGTAAGGAGGTAAGACGGTCTTTGGCCCGTGAAGGAGCACGGTGACCTATATTTTTTATTGCATAACCTTTGTGTGCAAATTTACTCCTTTTAAAATAGAGAAATTAAAAAAAAATGTACTGAAGTGAAAAAACGATATAGCTCAAAGCGTGCACGAAGCCCTTTCCTCTGATGGAGCAAATTATGACCTTGAGGGCAACGACTCACGGAACGTTTTGAGTCAATTTCGTCTGAAATTGCGTCGTTTTTCCACAAATTATATATCAAACTGTTCCATACGCTCGAGAATTTCTACCTATCAAGTTTTTTTTTAAGTAGGGAAAGTTTAAAAAGAAATGGGTTTCACTATTTTTTCCGTGATAGGAATCACCTTAAGTTCCACCAGTATTCATTTTGAACGGTGTGATTTTAAGAGTTCATTTTAACGGAGTGAGACTAAGCTGTCCTCACTAAGAACAAAACACAACAAATTCACCCCTGGGAAATTGCCGCATGGATTGTTGTTGCCGAGAGAAAAGAAATTGCCAGTTCGTTGCCGCTCTCAATAAGCAACAAACCTTCCATGGGCATTAAAAGAAACTGGTTTTCAAGAATATTTTTTTCAACAGTTGTGTCAGAAAGCGTTTATGAATTTCTCTTCTTCAGCTTTTTTTTAAAGTGCAATGGACAATTCATAGGAGTTTTGTTATACTTGGACTGTTGTTGTTGCTGTTGTTGTTATTTTCTTTCAAGAGATGTCTTTTCCAAGTTCAACGGTTCACCCTATTAACATCCAAAAGTGACTTCCGAGTAACTTCTCCCTATTATACCCAGTCATACATTGTTCCGCACACAGGTAATGAGAATACCTTAACTTATTAGGTAGGAGTTGTTATTTTGATCTGGCACGGAATTTTCACAACGAATTTACAAGGAAATATAAAGCAACTAAAGGGGAGAATAAATAATCAGATATTTGGAGTTAAAATATTTTAAGATAGATTTTGTATATCTGTGCTTTATGTACTATAACCATTGTATTCCGTAAAAGCAAATTTAAAATTTCAATTGTTCTCGTAAAGAAAGGCATTGTACTTTTTAGTCAGCTTCAAAGTTTTTGATTCTTGAAAGTCTGTACCCAGGTTCTCTCCGAGAAAAAGAGTCTGGTATCCCCGCCACACATTTCTGAAGAAGCGTGGTTGCACATTTCTATGGTTGTGCAGTTGACACAGCGGTCAAACACTGCGCATGCACGAAAGTTTGAAAACAACAAAAAGGATTTCCGAACGCGTGTCCAGTGTAAAGTGAGGGAAAGAAGATTAAATTCCTGACTATTCCAATACGTAAGACAAATGAAAAAAAATTAAATTAAATCCTGGCCCTATTTTATTGTGAGATATCGCAACTGTTTTCAAAGCAAACGCTTTGTTTCGGTGATAAAGGAAAATGACAGAACCTTTTTTCTACCTTTACTGCACAGTCTACTGTCCGCGACAAACATAGACCGTGACAAATACCTTGTGTGGTTCTGGTTCTTCTTTTTTTCACACATTTACCTTGGTGTTTACCGGCAACTCCACCATGAACACAACAAATAAAAACTTCAGCCAGCACTGCCAAGTTTACGGACGACTTTATTACGCCGCCGTGCAAAGTGTAAAAAAATAGTACGTGAATGTAAACTGACACATTGTGGGTAAAGTCCAAAACAACAATCTGTATAAGTTTTGGCCTTAGAAACTACCGAAGACTACGTCCTACGTTGATTCTACTTGCTTACTATAGCAAATTATCCATCATAGTGCGCATGTGCAATCATTTGACTCCTGTGTGGGTGCAGTTGTACATTTGTTTTATCATTTTGTATTGAAATCACTGTTCACATGAAGCAAGCAAAATTGATCGCTCTCGAAGTTGTGGTAGAAGATATTGCCACGGCGACGATTATATACTTTTATTACCGTACGCGACAGATTGTAGTTCCATTTCAAGTAGCATACGATTGAATTCTCAGGTGATTGGCTCGGATAAGAAAGTTATCGATACCTTTAAATTGTTTTATTTGACCTGTTTTGATCCGATTTGGGCTTATCGAGATAATACGACGAAATCTGGGCCGATTATGACCCCTATTTTTAAGAAGCTTGTTAGGATTTACTAGTAAATACTGATTAAGTTTCACTTGAACAAACGTTTCTCCCAAAGCTCTACAAAAATAATGAACTGACTTAGACGAAATTTATAATTCCTTCGAGTGTAAATATACATTTTCCTTCAATCTGCGTAACGTTAGAATTAATAGCACCAGTGTTAATTTCCCTCAGTTGGGCGAATTAGTGTGATCCTCTAATTTCTTCATACAAAGCAAAAACTTGAATTTTCAGTGTATCAGTCGCTGTATAATAAATTTTCTTCTGTTCCGTCAACTCCGTAATCTCCTGAGAGCATATTTAAGCCTTAAAAATTCTGTAAAAAAGACGATATAATTTAATGATTATTTTATCTTAAAGGACCTTGAAACCACTTTTCGTGGAGTTATTAGGAAAAAACCCTATAGATTTGTTTATGATAGCAGGTGACTGAATGTCGAACTTTAGTAAGCTTGTGAGATAATGAACCGATACTGAGATACGGTAAAGTTGAATGGACACAGTGAACCATACAATTTGTCTATGTTTAGGAAAACGCCAAATCGTTAGAGACAAAGGTTCTACATGAAAAAACAACCGCATGACCTCGAGTCTTGATGAAGCAGTATTAAGGTTATTCGAGTCGATAGAGCATAGTGAAACGGAGTAGGGGGGGGTAAGTTTCTAAGGTACTGTGGTGCGACATCGGTTGGGCGGAGGTTGTATTGCACGATAATTAAGTTGTATCTTGTTAATGTAAATTGTCCACTGTAAAGAGTTTCTAAAGCTGACGTTGCGAGCGTTAGCCCTTCGTCTGAACATACCGAGAATTTGTAGGTTGTTTCATTTTAGAATTTCAGGAACAGAGTCGATCAACATTTTCCATTCCTTCGAAGTTCCACAAACTACCTCATTTTCGCACATCTTCTCATTTTCAAGCTCGCTTCTGCGTTCTTCCTTGTAAATACAGTGACTGAGCTTTCAGTCCGAGTCTTACAAGCGGAATGGCATAAAAACAGTTATGCCTCACTGTAACTTCCTTAGGCAAGACCGCTAGGCAAGCTGGGATAACCCTACAGCTGCGAAGCTCATTTACGACCGACATAAAAATCGGCTTTCCCTCTGATTCAGATCGTCTTTTTCATTCTTTCGAGTTCATCATCTTGTTCCTCGCTACGAACTGTTTCATTATCAGAATCCAGCTCCTCAGATGTTTCGTATTCGTCATCTGATAGAAGTTCGCCATCTGCTGATTCATATTTCAAATTGTCATCCGGCGACACGTGCTCATTAAGAAGTCCCAGGCCCTCGCATTCAACCAAGACAGTCTTCGGTGTCTTTGAACTGATTTTAAACTCCACCTACAGAAAAGAGAACATCGTTTGGTTCTTTTTTGATTCGTTATACGTTAAACACTGACTCAGATCAAACTATCATCCAGCAAGTATCGAGTTCAAGCGAGAATTTTATGGTGGAACAAATTTTGCCTCAGGGTAGTACTCTTGGGCATTAATTTAGCCCGAGAAATTTGCAGTCAAACATTTGGATGAGGGGAGGTAGAGCCAATCAATTGTCACTAAACAAAGCTTTGCGTTGATTTCACAGTTTAGATCGTTACGATCAATTTCTTTTTCGTCTTTTTCGAAGGTATGGGTGTTATATTTTCATGTATCTGGGCAGCCTTTGCTTTAATTAATGTCTTTTTCTCGCACAATGAAACGAGTAGCAGATCTCTATTACGGTATTATAGTTGAGGTTAGTGCAAGAAAAGAATAATTCACTCGAGATTTCGACACACTATTAGATTCTACTGGTTTTGGCTCAGTACGTTCTGCGATTGGTCAAAACACTCGCACCACCTTAAAAATCAATCACCGTCTTAGTTAGGTGCAGTTTCTCACGCTTCAAGCCAATTACGATTATCTCCTATGAGACTCAATTGGCTCCTTATTTTCTTCATTCTGATTGGCCATGGTGATTAATTTGGTTTCGGTTTTTGGACGATAAATCAAAAGGCGCTCTAGACGCATACCACTTAGCACACAAACCTCTGTAAACGTCTCCACAGCCAGCATCGTAGCTTTAGCTCGATTGGTGAGCCGCTGCATCCGTATGGACGACCTTCCGCAGGCCAATGCCATCAGTAAAATAGCCTGAAAACAGAGAGAAACTCACCATGAACACTCTCTTAGTGAAAAGGAAATGACTATTATCAGAAACAAAGTTGCGTGAAAAAAACCAGCAACACAAAAATTCTTGGAACCTTTGATTCCATATTTGAACAAAAACATAAACACAAATAACTTCCATATCTAAGCGTGTATATATCGAGGAAAAGATAAGGTCCTTCTCCTGTTCAGCAGTAAGAGTATGACTTCTTTTCGTCAACATGAAACTTATATTTTTTAGCTCGTCAGATACCAAATATATTTTTCTGACATCTTGACGCTCCTCCTAAATTGTGTGTATTTTTTGCTATTTAAAATAAACCGTACACAGGATACCCACATTGTGTTATGGTGAAAATAACTTACATGCTCCTGTAACAGCCTATCGATGCACGAACCGCTGTTCACATTATTCACCAGCATCTGGACAGCTTTAGAAACAACCTCCACTGGAGCCATTCCTACCATTACGAAAAATATCAAATTATTACAATTGCAAAAAATAGGATGTACAGCATATCATTCATAATACATTATGTGCGAAACATCCTTGGTTACGGAATGAGTGGATACCAAACTAACAACGCTTCACTTTGATGTTAGAAAAAACAACCCATTGAGAGTCATTACTCAGACATATTCCAGTTTTGACCATCTGATCGTTTGCTATGTGGTCAAAGTCTTAAAAGCGCTTGAGTGATAAAGATTTCTAAACTTTATTGACTATTTACAGTCTGTAAGTCTCATCTTTTAAGTGATTGTTTATTCAGGCGACACGACTCAGGATTTCGGGCGACATGACTCCAGCTTCAGGTGATATGTCTTCGGGCGAGATGACTTTCGGGCGAATTGAGGCCAGCACGTTACAATTTGCTTGCCTCTATCCATGTTTGTATGAACAAACATCTCATTTACTGTAACAAAACCTTCATGTCCAGTTTGTCGAGGGAAACCTCATGTAATTATGCAAGTTCTTATCTCACATTTGATTTCAAATAACTAACCTTTTTCCCATATGGCAGTCCCCGACAGCAAAACGCCAGATGTTTTTTTTGCGATTAGCCTGGGATAAAGGAAAACACTTGATATGACAATTTTTTTTTGGTTTAGCAGGTAATAAACGTATCTCACATGTACATGGAACAAGTGCATCTTCATAAATTGATTTTTTAACTTAAGGAAAAAGTGAACTCTGAAAACCAGGACACTTTTTTCGCCATTGTCAGCGAGTATGACAATTACATGTACAATTGTAAAGCACTGAGCATAATTATTTTCAGCTGTGCCAGAACTTCCTGACGGTGAAATTTGTCCCAAGTTTCCATGTAAAACAAGATGTGTGACAGCAGATCTGACGCACAAAAATTTGTTAGTCGATTCACTTTCGACTTACATCAGCCCCTGCCCTGTCCCTTCACTTCTACAGTCTCTGTCTCGTCTGCTATCGATATCCAGTGGGACTTGTGGGAATTGAGTCTTTAACATCTGATGCGCCTGCTTCGCCATAACCTGAGCAATCTGAAACATTTTTGACATTTGAAAATTACTATAACAGCTGATACACAAATGAACGTGTATTGATTTTATCAAGCAGTTAACCCTTTGACTCCCAGGAGTGATTAACATGAACCTTCTTCCTGTGATATCCATACATTATCCAGCAAAGGGCTAATGAGAACACCAAAACTTATCAGGTACAAGTTGTTATCTTGATCTAATACCAAATTCGCCTAACTTATTTGCCAGGAATTGTGTAAAAGCTGGAGGAGAGAATTAACAATCAGATCTTCAGTTAAAGGGTTAAAAAATCATTTTGAAAAAGATTGCCATAGTCTAACTGAGTCTTTCTTCAATGTAACGACAAAATAGATAATTTTTTTCCCTTCAACCCTGTGCTTTTTCTAATGTCATAGTTCCACCCAAATTCCTGTCACTAACCAGAGCACTATGACACTATAGTTTGCACTCATTCAGAGTAGAGGATTATGTACCACATATGCGTGACACGCGTGACAATGAGATTGTGTTACATCATATCGCCATCTTAGACGCCCATACTGTCATGGGTATGATTGGTTCATTTGTACCACATGATACATAATCTCTCCTCTCTAATACTACTGACTAGGACTGAATTAAAATTTGGAAGTACATGTAAGAGCCAGAATTAGTATAATTATTTATGATCTTGTTAACAACTTGACCATACCCTGACAGGCTTTGCTCCAGCAACAAATGCCCAACCTGTGATTTCCCTCACAGTGCCACTTTCTTTCATTACAACAGGAGTCAGAGAGTGAACTGGGAGACTCTCTACACATATTTTACCCTCCCAGTATGGATGATAACTCCTACAAGGCAAAAACAAACACCTATTGTACACTTTAACCCTTTAATTCCTAAGATCTCATTAGTAATTCTCCTTACTGTCTACCATATAGTTCTTGTGATGTTAGTTTGAAGAATTTGGCATTGGATTAACTAATAATCCCTTATTAATATTTTTCTTTATTCTCATCACTTGCCTGCTTGATTTTGTAAGGAATAATTCTGTCATGGTCACTCATGGGAGTTAAAGGTTAAGGCCCAGATTAACTGGTTGATAAGCTGCAGTAAAGATGCTAAGGATAAGTTGCAGTGAAAATATTCACCTCTTTGGACATGAAAGATTTTGTGAAAATCTTTTTCACAGTAGCATAATTTTGCCAGTGCCATGCTAGGCACAAAAAAACTTCCATATGTACGTGTACTCTGAGTTTGAGGAAATAATTAAAGCACTTCTACTGTAGATGGCTTTCAAAACATGGATTTTCAGGGATTTGGAAAAAAACCATGCTCATACAATCAATGTAAATCTAAAATGAGTTTCATGAGTGATCTCTTTTCAAACAAAAACAAACTTGACATTCATGGTAAAATTTCATGCATGTGCTTGAGTCATCTTGTTATGCTCAGTAAGACCTGTTGATGTGCATATGTAGGTACATTGTGGAAAACATGAGCAAAAATCAATCACAATCAAAGGAAATTTAGAATGCACCATATGCAATGCCAGATGTTGGCTCCAAATTTCAAATAGGAAAAGCTGAGAAGCCATATGTAAAAACTACCAAAATATCTTTCCTGATTTTAAACATGTAGTTCAGTTACAACATAGAACAAATGTTATAAAGCTGAACTTTCTATAAATAATAAAAGAGCATTGAAATACCTTTTACGAATGTCAAAGTTAAAGTCAAATCCAAACTTGCCAACCAACGGCTTCATAACCTGAAGAGATAAAATCAAAAACCAAAAATCAAAAATCAAAAATTGATGAACTTGTATAAACCCTTTGACTCCTAAAGTGACTAACATGTAATTTCTCCTAACAGTCTCACCTCTGAATCAAACATTAAGGTTCAGAGAATAAAGGCAATGATCACAAACTAAAGAAGCTCTTGATGGTGAGACAAATTCTCCTTGTCAACACCTTGGGAAATGTATGGAGAACAGTATGGAGAAGATGCATACTGATGTTAGGGTGTAAAGGGTTAGAGAAGTTGTAGTGCACATACACAAGGATGAAACTGGTGTACCAATATGATTTACAAAATATGGTAAAATACTTCTCCAATAAATCGAAGTGTTCTTAAATCATGGTGATATAAACGAGTGCTGATAAACCTCAAAGCACTTGGTTACATTTTGCTCTGCAGTTTTTTAATTCCCTGTGTTTTCAATACACTCCCAGAAATAAGAGATTAACTTCTGGGAAATTTCTATCTGTCTGAATTTGACTTCTTTGACTAGAAATGATGAAAAACCTGATTTTCGTAACTTAAAAATGGTTACACAGTCAAGTAAATATGGTACATCTACTCACATTTTGGATGTAGTCTGCATTAATGACTGCCTTGTAGGAATGGGTTGAACCTTTTATGTGAAGTCTGTTAAATCTTGTGTATTCAGGAATTGGTAAAAATGGGCAGCATGGAAGGGCTGATGTGACCAACAGGTTTAAGTGACTGAAAAAAAGGAATTAAAAAAGGAATTTAAAAAAGTGATGGTTATAAACATGTACAGTAGCTTTGCTTAAAAAAAAGCCTTTGTAATCAAAGGGAAACTGTGAGATTCAAGGATCTGTCAAAACAAATCAACCAAAGTGGTAAGTATTTTGCTGATAATTATTACAGTAACATTATAGAATATGCAAACAAGAATTCGACCCTTCCTAAAATGAAAACCTTAAAGAAGGGCAGATACATTGTATATCTCAACTTGGAATGATGTCCTTTTTCATGAGGGTACAAACTGTAGGTGGCAAGAAAGTGACTGAAATATTCATGCATGGATCCCAGTTATGACAAGGATCTTTGACGAAGAATTGTCCATTTAAGCTTGGAAAATTTCCTGTACAAGAATTTCAATGCACCTAATGTTGAATGACATCCCCCAAGAAGGGCGCATAACATTGCATTGTCAATAACAATCAATTTCCAGTGATTTTTCGACAGAACACCCAAATTGGAGTGGCAAAGTAGTGTGATTACTGTACAATAAAGTTCATCTTGCCACCAAAAACAAGAATAAAAGACAAATCACAAAAAAAGTGTATTTTCTTTCCTTAAATGCAGTTTTGCAAGAGAAATAATCCTAGTTCTTTTATGTTATACAGTGTAAATCCCATGTACTGGACATGTATTTGTGGCCACAACTGTCACTCCCTGACCTTCTTTTTATTTTTTTATAATTTTTTAAATCATATAACATACAGAAACAAGACAGAAAAACAAACTGCAAATAAACATAAAAAGGAACTTCATTTGTAGGGTCTAACACTGTTAACATACCCCAGTCGTCCAGCCTCTGCCGAGAAATTCCCTCCAACTAGCTCGCTAGGGACATTAGTAACCATAGACAGTCCTGTATTAGCTGCAAGTGTTCCACTGGAGATTTGCCGCAGCAGCTGTAACACTCTCATGTCATGTGACTGTAGTCCACCATCTGATACTGACACATTCATCAGTCGTACTGGTGTACAGGTTATTGTGCTCAAAGTTGCAATTGTGCTGAGAAACACTTGACTCTGTTATGACAAAAATATTTCATCAACCTTTATTTTCTCCAAGTGATTAAAATGTAACATCTCCAAAATAAGATACCATTTTTCTAAATTCTATTATGTTACACCACCTCAAAATTTCAATAGATTATCCAGTTAACCCTAAACATCCTGTAAGTGATCAAGACAGAATTTCTCCTTAATATACAATATCATGCAGGCAAGTGATGAAAATAAAGCAAAATATCAATTTCGGGATTACTAATTGATCCAATAACAAATTCTCTAAACTAACATAATGATAATTATTTGGCAGACAGTAAGGAGAATTACTAATGAGATCTTGGGAGTTAAAGGATTAAAAGACAAGGAGAGTAGACATTCAATTGCAGGATGGTTAGAGGACATGTATAGTACTGCTCAAAAGTAAGTTGACAGTCCCTCAAAACTCAATTTTGATTCTTGACCTTGGACCTTCTCAAAACAAGAAAATAAAGGCATTTTTCTCACATTAATTTTGCAATTTCCAAACCACTCAATTGTGCTGCATTGTGCTGCACTACTAGACAAAAAATATCTGGCAGTTACGCAAAGAATTTAAGAACTCACTGTTTCTTAAGATACAGGATTCAGTATCACAGAAAAATATAAGAAAAATACATGTAGTTTAAAAGAGTGCATGTATGTACAGCCTATGGGTAAAGCAAATATTACAATGAATAAAGTGGTAAGTTTCTAAAGAAACTGTGGCCCTGCCTTGGTGGGAGTGTATAACATGATAATTTAATTTGCTCACCTTTATAAAGAGTTTCAAAGAGTTTCAGAGTGAATGACAAAGAGCTAATGTTTGAAATGTCAGCTTTTAAACTCTTAATGATGGCCAATTTATGTTATCAACTCAGTTGATGATACTATATTACCCTGTCAAATATTACAATGTCCTGCACTAAGTACCTGTTTAATTCCTCGCATATCTATTTCCAACATTTCATCTGTCAGCCGCAAAACCTTCTCTCCACTTTCCTTCTTCTTTGAACCTCTCATAGTGAAGTACGTTCCAATCTCCTTGTCATAATCTCTCCTTGATGCTAAGTTACGTAAAACATTGTATGCATTTGTGATTTCTGAAAAAGGAAGGAAAGTGTGTTAAATGCATATAAATTTATCCTTTGTATAAAATATTTGAGTGTCAAAATTATCAATGAACTCTTTCACAGACTCAAAACCCTACAATGCAATGTAAGAAAGAACCTGTTTCTGATTAACAGTAATGTACACAGTTTCTCAAAATATCACCACTTATGGGATGATTCCAGGTTATTGTGCATGTTCTATTGTCAAGCTCCAAACTGTGAATTAACCCTTTAAACTCTAAGGGTGATTACCATCTAATTCCTTCCAACAATATCAGGGAAAAAAATTAACTTCAGTGCTTGGTGGCCAATTGGGCCAGTTTCCTTGAATTCTTTGTGGCCCATCCCAAAATGAAGTAGCCCTCCTCTTTCCTCTAAAATAAAAAACTTGAATAAACACCCCATGGCCTTTAACTAAAAGGAAAGAACACATCCTGCACGGAAGTCTGGGTAAGTCCAGAGTCAATGGCAATCACAAAATCAAAATGGCATCTATATGTTATGAATGTGGATCGCTCTTGAAATTACTGTTAAAACAGCTTGGAATTTCCACTTCAGAACTAAAAATTCACTAAAATGGATGATCTTGGGGTCCAGGCAAAGAAACAAGAGAAAGGTAGTCCATTTAAACTACATATTGAGTTTTATTTTAAACTTTGTACTTCGCATAATTTACATTGCAACTTTTTGAAATTCTGTAGCATAGTCACACATCCGGCATTCAAACCTTAACTTTTTGTGGCCCTGATCATTTTTAGCTTGCCACTGGCGACCATGAAACTGCCGATTTTTAGCCCTGCAATATCACTCTTGAATCACATAATTATTAAGGTCATTAGAATAAAGGAAATGGTCACCAGGGAAGGAACCTTTTGATTGGCAAACAAATTCTCCTTTTCAGCACCTTGAGAAATGTTAAAATAACATTTTGGAGAATATGCATACTGGTGTTAGGGTGTAAAGGGCTAATAATGGTAACAGGACAGAGTGGAGTCCAATTTGGTCTGTAATCATTCAAGTGATTGACAAAATTGGACAACTGCAATAGAGGATTCTGATTTATGTGAATCACGAGTATGATTACAGGCAGAATTAAAAGACACGAAGTCTAGTAACTAATTAATCAAAACTTAGACAAAAAAAAAATAGACATTGGTTATATGTTTTCATGAAAAAAACAAAACAAAACAAAACAAAAAAGTTTTCTCTACAAAATGCACAACAACTGTGCAGGCACACAACATGTAATGTCCACTAACACAGGTAGGACGAGTTAACTGTCCAGTAACACTTTCTAATTACAAGCATGACATGTACACTGTCCCATTTGTGCTCAAATCAGGCTTGATGATAACCAATCAAGTTCGAGAATTTTGTTATAGTTCTGATTATCCTTGACACACATGTAGTTAGTATACATGGTTGATATTGAAAAGACAAAAGTGCCTGAGATAATTTTTCATCGGTTAAAAAATTAAATTTTGGACTTAAGCTTTCAGATTAGCCATTGAGTAAGGTACTCTTATGAAGCATGTGCATGTATGAACAACTGAGTAAAAAGATTTAAAACGAGTGTAGGTTTCATGCTTGGATACAACTTTCAGCTTACAAACTGCACGTGGTTTCTGATCAAATACGACTACAATGATGAGGTGTTATTACAGATTGGCCTCTAAAAACGTTAAGTTTATGCAACAAACAGAAAAACAGGGGAGCTGACATCACCCATTTGCGCAGAGAACACAATAAAGGCACAACAAACCTTGAAACTTGTGCTCAGATTTCTCGCTCTTGTTTACGTCTGGGTGATACTTTAAAGACAATTCGTAGTAGGCAGCTTTAATCTCATCCTGTGTTGCAGTATGGGGTACATCTAACACATCATACAAAGATTTCCTCTTGTTAAAAGTTCGATTGTGAATACATCTCGCCAACGTAATGATTCTGGACTGTCGAAAGAGCGCCGAGAGCAGAGGAGGTTGTACATGTCGACTGAACGCTATCCTCATGCTACGTACAGTTTCTGAGCCTAGTTGAACAGTAAGAGGTGTGCAACATATGAAAAACTACAGTTTAAGACATCAAAGACCAAAGTGACTCCAATGATCGCGTAAAGAAATTCTTTTGCGTTCTGCCATCCGCCATTTTAAAACAATTATTAGTCCCCAGATCTCTGCCGAGAGCGAAGCGGATGCTTGAGATATATTTAGCACGATTGTTAAAGCGATTGAACAAAGGCGCAGTTTGTTCACATTTGGAGGTTGCAAACAATAAAGCGTGTAACTTCTCTGTTGTAAACGTACAGTTAATACACATAATGCTTCTGACTTAACCCGAAATACTTCAAAACAAGGGCTGACAGTGTTAACGGCTAACAAACACCGACATGGAACTTTTCCCGCCAAATTTCAAGAATTTGCCAGCCGCGTTGACTTGAGACGTGCTGTCGTCAAATCGTTTCTTTCAACAGCTGAGTTTAAAATGGCGGGCACTTCAACATTGAACAAAACTGAACTTGTATTTCGTCATGGATAGCTGAATTAAGAATGCTCTTTAGTTCAAAGATTCGAAACATGTCCATGAGGTAAGTCAGGAAGTCAAATAACGCAATGAGGAGCGGCTGCTTAACTACAAAACGATTTCTTTAATCAAGTTTATTCTCGAGAAGTGCTGGCCTTATTTTTGAACAGCTTATCGGTATTGTCATTTTACACTCTGAGACTTCATTCAATAAGTTTTTGTTACACTAAGATAGTTGCCTTTAATTTCATTTCATCAAAGGAGGCAAAGGAAAACCTGTTACCTAGGACGCGGAAAGATTGTAAAATCAAACAAGTAAATTGTTGCTCTGACTTCTACGTATTGAATTGTGCTTGGGGTAGGTGTAACAGAGAAAGCGTTATCTTTTATCTCAGAATTTTTATTTACACAGCCAACTTACAGCAGCAGGTTGAAACTAAAAGCATAAATATAAGTGAAGTTGAACGAGATAAACACGTTACAAGCAACCATGAATACAAACAAAACAAAACGGAGAAACTATGACTTTCATTGATAACGCCTAACATCTATCTGCAAGTACAAATAACTTTTATGCTGAAGAAGACTTCTAGACAGAGAATTGCGCCAAGGTAAACTTTAGGTAAACTAACTGAAAAAAAGTTATCATGCGTAACGGAAACTGGCTTTTAACACGAGAGGCTACGAAATAACGCGCAGTGTGAAAAACGTGCAAAAAGTGTGTAACTGACGACGAAAAACTCAACAAAAAACACTAACGGGGAGGCATGAGAATAAAAAGGGGGGGGGCGAGGGATGGAGGTAGGCACTCTCAGTCCTCCTGACTATGATATTGACCTGCTGAAGGAGTATTTATAAAAATTAATTTTAACAATCCATGTTGACTCCTAACAACAAGCCTCTTATTTGTCATGTGCATACGTGTAAGGTTAAAGAATTTATTTTTCTGTATGCTATTAAGCGGCCATTCAAGGACAGTTCCTGCGGAATTACATTTGCAAACAAAAGTAAATGACAGTCTGTAATGCATATATATGTCTGAGGAATTACTATGCGGAAATTGTTGAGGTTTTCCATTAAAAAAATGCATTTCGGAGAACTAACAGTTTACATCTTGTACAGAATTTGCAAATAGCCGGAATCCTTCATTATAGTGATCAAAATGAACATTTATGATAACTCTTGACTGAAAAATCTAAACCCCAAACTCCGAACTCGAAGGAAATGCTTGACCCATTAGTCAATAATTATTTAAGACACGTAATCGATACCTTGCAAGGATCATCGTGTAACAACCTCTTAGCACAGCGAGGTTCGTTCCTCTTTATGTTGAAAAAGGCGGTCTTTATTCGCTTTAAAGCAGCCCAATAGATGTGAAAGAATGCAAAAGACATCCTGTGTAATGGAGGCAGGTTCATTTACAATCTTTCTGTGTGCTCTTTTCATATTTGATGCCGAAGGTAAGGTTTACAAGCATCTCATTGTTAGAAGCCATTATATGCATGCATTTATAAACATGCTAAAAAACTAATACCGTGACCTTACCAAATAGAAATTACTAAGAAGAAGCAAAGAATTGGTGCTTTCAGTTCTCAAAAAAATGTGTTGCGTATTTCTGAAAACTGAAAGTTTGATTCAGCCTGATTACGTCTCTGAAAATGTGAAGGTTGAATGTGGTCGTCAACGAACTTGTCGGAATATTGGAGTGAATTAGATTTCTTAGTATATATAGACATATCATCAACGACTTTATAAAAAGTAAGGAACCCTGCCATTTCGAACCGTGTATCGTGCTTTCGTGAGGCGATGCTTGGTGGAAAAGCGGCGACAATCTCGAGAACAGTATAGATTGTAAGATAAGGTAAACGACCCTACAAGAAATGTCCATGTAAGTGCCTAATGTTGTGTAAAGAAAGCCTGGGAAATTAACGCAAATGTGAGAGTGAAAGTCGAAGCTTCATTCAATGTATCAAAACTAGAGAGTTGCCTTTTTTCCTGTTCGTCTTGTATTGTTACGAATCTGAGACGTTGCGCTATACACACATCGCTATACACGCATCGTTCCAGACTTCCGTGTTTGCTCGTGATAGTCACCTGGATCGAAGGAATTGTTTACTGTCGGTTTCAAATGACAGTGGTGCTTCGGTGACAAATAGCTATTTTAATTCGTTTAATTTTCGTTCAGTAAAATGTATTTTTTGTGGAGTAAATTGTTTTAAATAGGCATTCATTTTTGCCAATTATTATTGAGACTGCGCGCGTGACTAGGGAAGATGAAACAACAATTACGAACCATTTTCTTAAAACGGTCGATTTCTCGTTTTGATACTGCATAATTTTCACGTAATGATACTCAACGCTCCAAAAATAAAAGAAAATGAATATGAGAAAGCGCAAGAAAACGAAAAGTGTTTGTCTCTGAGGAGTGATGTCAGAGTTGCACTCGTATGGGCGGAAATCAAGAATATTCTTCGATCGGATTTATTGTGTGTTTCCTATCTAAATCCTACGAACTACTGCGGAAGAAAGTGTGGTCTATTGCATAATAATATGAAAAAAGTCAAAATTTGGTAATGGTGACTTCATCTATGCGACTGTCTTCCAATAGATTATACGTAAAAATCAATCAATATGCATACAATATAAAGATTGTCATCAAATCAACATATAAGGCGATTTTGCGACGGCGACGGTGACCAGAAGTGACTTTTAGTTCCGGTTGACGTTCTTGTCATTTGCTGTCAAGCCGTCATTGCTTCGCGCGAACGTGGAAAGCTCCATTTTGGTATTGTTTCGAAAAGGTGAGTACCTTTTCCTTATTGGCATGTGCCAAACTTATTTTAAACATATTTTGCCCTTGTGACCTTTGTAGAAGCATTTTCCTCCTTATTGTCGATAATAATTCTTCAGGCATGATAGCAAACCTCTATTTTTAATTCTCTTAGCTTTTGAGCGAAAGACGGCGGCTTCGGTCTAAACTGATAGAAAACCAAAGTAAGCAAAGCGTCTCAAATACATTTCAGCAAAACTTAATTTCCTGTAAATCATTAGGTTTCCATAAATTTTTACGATCAGTGAATAATTGAATTGTTGTATTTTGATTTTAGGGTTATGGAATGGACCGCAGATCATGATGTTATTTTGCTCCTAGAGATGATTGCGAACGACTTGTTTTCAGTCGTTCAAGAAAAGAAGTGTCGCCAGGGGAGAAAGATGGGAAGTCATCAGAGAAAAGTTAAATCAAGTTAAGACATCAAGATTTTATCTTTAAGATATTGACGACAAAAAGAGATAGATCTAAGAAGAGAAGAGCAAGAGCGGAATCAGCAAGTGATGGTGGCTGTCTTACAGCAACAGAAGCAAACGACACAAACGATATATTCTGTTGGTCATCAAAAAATTGTTAACAAGTAAGAGTTGAAACTCGAACCTTTCACTATTGAGTTCATTCATTCCAGCACACTGTATTAGCTTTACAAGTATGCGTACATTTGTGCAGCGTGAACATTTTACTCAAGTATGCACCTGTTAAATGTTTATTTACTTTAACAAAAAGACAGGTTTTTAGATATTGCTGTCTATCTTATTCACTTGTGTTTGTGAAATATTTTTCAAAAATGGAACTGTGTTGCTGTTTTGAAATTAGTTTCTCTGGTTTATATACTTGTTAGACATGTCATGAACTAAACATCAACAGTCAGGATAAATCTAATATCAACAGTAATCTGGCTAAACAAGTTCATTTATCGAGATTATGATGCACAAGGTATTTACCTAAAATTATTCGTGTCTTTAATATGCTTGGTTGCTGCTGTCTTAAAACTTTTGAAGAACTTTAAACGTCTTAAATTATGGAAAAGTTTTTGAAAATTCTTGCTGTCGGTCTGAATTTTCAGCTTGTGATATTTACTGATTCGATGTTAATATACGTTTGGCTCATGCATGGGTGGCAAGCCAGGAGAATAATAAATAAATCTGTGTTCAGTGAAAATATGGGCTCTTATTTTGATCTTGTTACTTTTTTAATTCACCTGAAATAATACTGCAATGAAGGGGTGATCCGGACCAAAAGATTCTGGGGTTTCGTACAAGCAGGTTAAAGCATTATTAAGTCGTTCACACACAAAATACATTTTCCCCACACTGCTCATCCAATTTTCAGATTTTTCTTAAAATCTGAAAATTTTAAATAATGGATGATGTCTCCAAATAACCACTCAACAGTTACTCTCACAGAACTCTTATCTAAATTGTACTTTTCCATCATTGGTGTTATGACACCGTGGCGAAATGATGCTTGCAGGTGTACTCCCAGTGGATATGCAGGGTCACCACAAACACTCATGGGCTGGTCTGTCGGGGAAAAGGCATTTCTTTCCAGTTCTGGGAGAAGGTTGGAGTCCACCAACATGCTTGCATCGTGTTTTCTTACTTCTGCATACCAAAACATTTGACATGAAGGTTAACAAATGAAAAGCACATGTGGTAGCTTATTATTTATGGCCTCCTAGAATAACTTACCAACAGGTCCGTACATATTTCCAGTAAGCCCATTTGGAGGGGCAACCGACTGAAGCTTCAGCGAATGTATACGTTTACGATCATTGTATACAACTCTTTGGTGTT